AAATATGTTTAAAAAATGCTCGTTTTTTGCACCCACCGGCAGAAACATAAATCGGCGCCTATGACCTTGGGGGTTCTTAAAAAAAATGTTTGTAATGTAAAACTATGGTAGAAACATTTTAGACTTTACAGATTTAATTTACTGATATAATATATCAGTATTTCATTAACTGATATAATATATATACCAACCTGTTGAAATATTAATATCTGTTTTGTAGCACTGTAATACACTGATAACTACCCCAAAAAAATAGATGGTGATGAGAAAGTCACATGATGAGTCAATGTTGATCAAAAACAGCTTTTCCACAAGCTGAGGAGAAAAAAAACCTTAACAGAAATAAAACCTCAAATGTGAAGCGTCATGCAGGGAATTCTGGGAATGTCAATTTTTCACTGTAAATTATACAATGACTTGTTCCTTTTCACTTCCAAAAACTATAATTTTAACAGTATTTTACCCTGAAATTACATCAAATGTATAGTTATTCACATATATAGAAACTTACTGTTAACCAGATTTTTACTGTAGCATTTTGACAGTACTGTACTGTTAAAATCATGATCCTTTTTACAGTGTAGAGCTCTATACTTATAATAAAGTCATTATAATAATAATAACAATTATTATTATTATAATAGATTATTAATAGTCAAAATAGTCTTTCCATTACTTTATTTAGTAGAATCCCAAATGATTAAAAATAAATAAGATGACTGTTTTTGTACAGCATATATCCAGGATTAGATTATAACATATTCTTGTGGCTCAGTGGTAGAGCATTGTTCAATTCCCACGGAACACATGTACTGATTTAAGGTTTGGATGGAGCCAGACTTGGGTCCAAATCTGGACCACTGTCTGTTAGTTGATAACTTCTGGTTTAGACAAAACAAACGAATATGCTTTCACACACTGACCCTCAATATTGTCTTGTCTTTCTCTTCCTTGTATCCATTGGCTGTGCTAATAAAACATTCTGCATCTTTTTGTTGGCTCTCAGCTCAAAGGCAAAAGCTTGTTTTTGTTGCAGTAGGTGATGGTCGTGCTTCTGCTGAGAAGAAGCAGGGGTTGTGGAGAGCAGATCTGGTTCAGGGAACAGCAGGACGCAGATCACTCTGAGCGTTTGTCTGAGATAGTGTGTTGTCGGGATCTGCTGCATTGAACATTGCTGTCCTGTCCTTGTGCTGTGTATTCAAGTGGAGTTTCAAACTGTTATCTGTGTATTTTGGTTCGATTTCAAGTTCAGCAGTGGTATAGATCGCACTTTATTTGAGGAACTCCTGAAACTGAATGTTTTCGAGGAGGACTTTGAAGGAGTCTTTCTAAAAGAGTATGAGTTTAGACTTTATTAACTATGTTTGGATTTTTTCCCTGAAGACTAATAGATGAGTTTTGAGATGCCGGGTTCCTCATGTGTTATAATGTATGTAGTGTCTTCATGAATGGCTCATTATGAGCCTGTGTTCCAGTGCTCTGGACTGCTGCCTGCCATGTGATTCACTGCAAGCTCAAATGTTCTACTTTGTCTCTTTGATGTTCAAAAAGGAATGCACTTTTTTTCTTTCTCCCTACCCGGTTTGATTTGATCAAGTTTGAGATTCTTTGTTCCTTTAGTTTGTATCTTAACATCAGAGAATACGTTGTTTTTTTTCAAGCTCGTGGTCAAAACAAACCACATTTGAAAATGCAGCCTTCTAATGGAGTTAATTGAAGAACCGTCATTGTTCAAAGAAGCAGATTGACATGAAAAAAAAAATCATTTGGATCCATTAACACTTCTGGAACATCTGCATTCTTCTGCCAATTTGAACATTGTAGTGTAATAAAATATATTTGCCATTGACTTAAGTGATGGATAACATTAAAGTTTTTGGAGAATGCAATTGTAACTGTGCTTTAACACGTCTTGACTCGTGATGAGTATTTGTTCATCACATGTTATGCAACACAGTTAAGTTATATGAAACGTAACTATAGTTTATGGGCTGTAATATGCTTTGTGTCAATGTATGTTGCAGCACTGAAAGTAAGTTTTCCAAATTTTAAAAACCCATTTTACCCACAAAAGGGTTTGAGAACCAGACGTAAAAAGGCTACATCACAACAGGGTCAGGAATAAAACAAGATTGCAGTGATTTTTACACACTTTATTTTTTCTCCCTGACACAATGCCTTAAATTCCCCCTTTTAAAACAACACATTTTCAGCATGACTGTCCAAATTAATCCAATTTAGTGATGACATTGTAGAACATCGTCATTACCTAGCTGTTGCTAATATCTAATTTTACAGAGGGAAAAGTCACAAGGAACAGCCCTGGTCGAATATTATGTCAGAATTCAATAAATGACCATTTTGGACACAACAACAGAGTCGACAACGAGAGTTGATTCCTGTGCTGGAGGCGACTTCGAATCTAGGGCTACTCAGAGTTGAGTCAAGGAATACTCTTCGTAGTATTTTTCATAGTGTTGAATAAGATCTACTTAACTAACATGATATTATCCAAATTAATGACTTTTTATTGGATAAAATTCACACTAAATTCTTAATTTTTGTAAATTGTTCCATAATGTTGTTTTGAATTGAATCATGACCAAATTTCAGATTTTGCAATGCAATCATAGAGTAAATAATCCAAATTATCCAATCAAATTTCTATACTGTCACATTACATTGTAAGTTGACTTGGTTAAAACCAATTATTAATCAGATTTGACCAAAGATAAGCATATTATTTAAGTTACTTGAAAGAAACCTGGGGAAATTACCATTCTTTTCAAATAAAATATTTGGAAATTGCACTTGGTAAAACATCAGATTTTCTATTCAAAGCCACAGAAAGTTTGAGTTTACCAACCACAAAAATTCAGCACAAGAACAAATCTGATGTAAATGTCTCCTAAGAAATGTATCTGTTCAGGGTCAGTTGAAACCAAAATTATACAGGACTTCCTTCGGACGGATTAGACAACTAATCTTCCAGGCAACCCAAAGACTAGTCGATTTGAAAATGTGTAGGTGTTTGGGAGCATGTCTCATGTTCTATCGACTGTGCACAAGAACGAACAGTCAACTTTCAAGCATGCAATTCACTATTTCCTGCTAATAAAGGTTTTTGTAAACACAGCTTTGTGGTTTTTTACCACTTCTGTGTGTTTGCAGCATAAAGGTGCTTCACAGTCAAATTATATCCCAGATTTAAGTTTTGGAGAGCTAACCAAGTTTTTAGATACAATAAATTTAAAAACCTGAAACTGTATATTCCAAGTCTTGAATTGATAACTGTTCTTTTAAATTCAGGTTCTTAAAATTACAAGCCGCAATAAATAAATAAATACAAATTTAGCATGCCATAACCAATATTGTGACTCTAAAGTACTCTTCAGTACTTTTGACCTGATGTCAGATCACTTCCCTCCATTACGTCAAAATCCTGGGAATGTTCACAACAAAGTTAATTTGGTGCTATATTAGATTGATGTCACATAGTTTGGGAATTTGTTGGGTGTCACACTGACTGACCTTACTGAATGTTTTGCTCTTATGCCACAAAATGAGGGGAAAAGGTAGGAACTCTATTAAGTAACTTCAGTGAAAACTGGGTGTGCATTTATAGTTTTTGAAAATGGAAGAAAATGGAGCACTTTTGCATTTTAGTTGCTCATCATTTTAAGAAAAAACATCCACCTGTGACACAGTGACAGAAATCTAGGACACAGTTTATTTCTTCTTCTTTTTTTTTTCTTTCAGAAATGGGAGATTGCACATTGTTTGCCATGCACCAAATGTTTCCTGACCATATACTTTCATTTTAGCAGTGCATTTATGTACTTGGCAGATGCTTTCTCACTCACTGTATGTGTGTATCAGACTAAACCATGTCTAAACCAGACTAGACAGGCCCCCATCAAAAAGTTTCCCTATGTATATATATATATATATAGCGTTGCAGTGCAGAGTCAAGCTGCTTTATTGCTGACAAATGATAGAAGACATTTCTAGGTTTTGCTTCCTTTTTAGTTTCCATTTTAGGTAAATATATTTTTGTTTTTTGTCTTACAAAGTAATCCATTAGTGTTTAGGTGAAAGATCACAAAAAAAAATACATGAAAAGAAATCAAGGACTGAAATGTCTGAATAAATCTGAACTGAAAAACTGCAAACAAATTCAGACCTTTTTGTTAATCCGTTTGTCAGATTAGATTAAGAGTGATTCTGTCATCATCAGTTCTCTAAACAGCGAACAGACACAAAGTAATTGCTGAAATGTTATCAGTAATCAGTTGTACGGTAATCTTCATTGTCAGACAAGGATTTATCAGTCATATTCTTCTGGGGCACAGCAATATTTCCCAGTAAAAAGGCTCTGTCGGCACCCCCGGACTGAGCCTCAGAACAGTAATACTGAATTGCCAGTGCAGTCACAGTGTGCGCTACTCAAGTCTGCCAGTCGTGTATTAAGGTAAAAACACAAACTATAAAACAGGAACTGCAGAAACAGCTGAAGTGGCGTGTTGTTTCACAGGCTTACATGTTGACTTTCTCATCACACACATGAAGTGATGCTCAGTCCTTTCAGTCTTGTGAATCATCCAAATGGACTCATTCCAGTCCGAGTCACATCAGTTTATCACTGACCCTGGATCAGACTAAAGTGTACAGCCTTGTGTAGTTACGTCTATGGTTTTGCCTTCAGGAGAGCAAACTGCTCAACTCTCATTGGTCTGTAGACCACTGACTAAAACAAGGCTGGACCAGTTGTCAAAAAACGTGTAAAACAAGTAGTTTCATTGTTCTTTGGAATGTTATGAAACATTATGACTGCTAGACTCCTAATTATATGCTGCTAATGCTGACTAATGTTTTATGTGTATCTTGTTCTTTTGTTTCATTTCATTCTCATTTGTATTATTTTGCTCAGTGTTTTGTTGCATCATCCATTCTTCGCCTGAGTTGTCCTTTAAGTTGCGTTTTGATTACAGCTCAAGCTACAGTGGAAGACTTCCAGATCCGACCCCATGCGCTTTACGTCCACTCCTACAAAGCGCCCACCTTCTGCGACTACTGCGGAGAGATGCTGTGGGGACTCGTCCGACAGGGCCTCAAATGTGAAGGTAGCAGCCGTATAAGAACATGCATTGTATTTTAAAGAAACATTTGCTCACTTCTTCCCCATTATTATAGCATATGAAGATTTTAGTATTATTGTTGTGGGTAGGATGATGGTGTTATGACTATTTTCAAGAAAACTAATATCTCAATCAAGTGAGTCTACCACACTCTAAAAAAAAAAGAGGAGTGGTTAAGGTGCTATATAGCACCACTACCGTATAAAGAACCTGTTAAGCCCCTGTATGGTTCTTCAGCGGTTCTTTGGAGTCGATGAGGTGCTATATAGCACCACTACCGTAAAACCTGTAAGCCCCGTATAGTTCTTTAAAGGTTCTTTAACTCTCTCTTAGTCTCTTAGTTTAGCTGGGGAAAGGGTTAAACCAACATTAAAATACAGTCTATTTCTTGAAGATATTTTTTTTTTTGCCCCCAAGGCCCCTGTAAGGAAATATTCCAGGGCCCCTACATGAGACCTTTGACCTCAGAAAAAAGGACCTCTCCACAAACAGCAACACCAACTTCACACATTACTAACCAGTTAGACTTTATTTCTGGAGTATCTAAAACAGAAGTTCTTTATTGAGAATTAAGGTTTAGATTTTTTTTTTTTTTTTTCAACTTACCGTTTTGGTGAATAGTGTTTGCTTTAGTTGCCTCTTGAGCCTTGACTTCCATTTTAAGTTAAAATAAGTTTCTCTTTGGCTGTTCCAATAGTGTTTATAAAGCACATATGTGATGGCAAGGAACTTATGGTAAAATCATTTTATGCGTCTGAGTCTCTGGGTGCATTTTATCAAAATCTGTAGTTCTTTTATGAGTTTTATATTATTGCAGTTCTACGATACTACGTGACAATGTGAGAAAATTGTATAAAGCACTTTTAGAATTATGGCTTGGGAGCCATAGATGAGTTATGATTGGTGCACCATTGTTGAGAAAAAGTGCTATATGACACCTCTTATGACTCTACATGGCACCATTTGACAAAGTGCTATATGGCACCTGTAAAAATAGGTGCTAAATAGCACTAAAAGTGGTTCCCCTATGATTACAAGCCAAAGAACCGCTTTTAGTGCTATATAGCACCATTTTTGTCAACAGTATGCTTTTCTGTTTTTCTGTCAGCTGTGCATGAGAATCTTCACAATCTCAACAATTGTGATTGCTGGGTGTATATGTTCATGCCCCTTTTTGTGCATTAAAAAGTTTGCATTATTTTTAATATTTATAACATACTATAATGTCTTATTTTCTTAATTCACTTGCTTTGGCAAAATTAAGTAAGCAAGTAAGCAAATAAGTTTGATTCTAGTATGTATCAGGACCACGAGTTACATAACCGTTAAAAAGATACATGCATAATATAAAACATTTAAACTACCAGTCAAAAGTTTGGAATAATTCCGTTTTTTATTTTCTTTTTTAGTAACTGAGTATCAATAGGAATTAAGCACCAAATCCTGCATTAATCATATCAGAATGATTTCTGCAGTTATAGAATTAAATGAATTCTGAAAATATAATACAATGAAAATATTATAATAACATTTCACAATATTACTGTTTTCACTTTATTTTTGATCAAATACATGCAGCATTAGTGAGAATAAAAGACTTCTTAAGTACAGTATGGTCCTTATTATCAGTGTTGAAAACAGATTTTCCTGCTTAATATGTTTGTGGAAATCATGAAACTTTTTTTTTTTCAGGATTCTATGAATTGAAAGGTAAAAAGAACCGCATTTACATGAAATCGAAATCTTTTGTAACATTATATATGACTTTGCTGTCACTTTCGATCAATTTAATGCATCCTTTTTGAATAAAAACATTTTTTTTTATCTTAGCCCAAACTTTTGAATGATAAAGTAACATGGTTTCCACAAAAATATTAAGCATTAAGCATTTTTTTTTTCAACATTGATAATAATAAGAATGTTTTTTAAGCAGCAAATCATCATCTGAATCATGTGACACTGAAGACTGAAGTAATGATGTTGAAAATTCAGCTTTGATCACAGGAATCAATTACATTTTAAAATGTATTTATACGAAAACAATTATTTTAAATTGTAATAATATTTCACAGTATTACGGTATGTTTAATTGAATAAATGCAGTCTTGGAGAGCAGAAAAAGTTTTTTTAAGAAATTGAATTCTTTCAAACTTTTCACCATTTTTTTTTTACCGTGTATTGCCATTTCAGTAAAATAGACTGAAGTATAGTAAATGAAAATTACATAATGAAGTACTGACTGGCTAAAACAACAACGGCAAAAAGAGCACTTTGTAAATGAATCTGAATCAAGGTATTGTTGTGGTTCTGAGTGAGTCTGAGACTGCTTTAAAGATCCGTGATCGAGTCTGACTGGAGGCGATGGATTCAGACATGCGGCACGATGTGTCAGTGCTGCCGTCGGTTCGGCTTTGAAGTTGAAATCAGGGGCTGTTTGAATGGAACCCAGTGTTTCTGCCAAGCGCTGGATGTGACATTCAAAAGCTGCAAGATTATGGGCTCCAGTTGTAAGAAGCCACACTGATGGATACAAGCTGTTCATATAGAGAGGCATGCTAAAGCACTTTACGCTTTAAACTCTTGTGAATGTGATTTAGAAAAGTAAAAAAAAATCCCCACCCAGTCCTCAGGAGATTCATTTGGTTTCTGAGTAGGTATCTAAACATGCTTTATTGCCCATATGTCTGCGAGTCTGAAAAGAGAAGGGGGAGCCCTCTGCTGGAGTTTAGGAGTAAAACTTTGATGGTATTCGCCTTGTGTTTGTCTGTGTGTCATCTTATCTTCAGTCCTTAAACCGTATGCTTGATTTTTATCTTCTTGACCATTTACCTTATCTCTAATAATATTCTGATCTTGCTTTACACCAAATCCAAGGCTTTTTTCTTCTGACACTAATCCTGAACACTAAAGCGTTCCTTGTGGATTTTTAGGATGTGGCCTGAACTATCACAAACGATGCGCCTTTAAGATCCCTAACAACTGTAGCGGTGTAAGGAAAAGACGTCTTTCTAATGTGTCTCTGCCCGGCCCGTCGCTGTCTGTTCCTCGTGCTGCTCCAGCAGAGCATGCTGTCGTGAGCCTGGAAGAGGTAAGGAATGATTTTATTCAACATTTGCATTATTTATTTACAGGTTTTAAATGATATGACAGTAGATCTTTCATTGTTTGTATAACTACACCTGTGATTATTCTGTTAGCTTACCTGTGTAAACTGATTTCATACGTTAACAGACAATCACCTGGACACAAGCTTTTTAAAAGTATTTACCAAATTGTCAACCAAAATGGTTAAGTTAGATCTGAGATCATTTGTGACCCTGGAGCACAAAACCAGTCTTAAGTCGCACTGGTATATTTGTAGCAATAGCCAACAATACATTGTATGGATCAAAATTATAGATTTTTCTTTTAGGCTAAAAATCATTAGGATATTAAGTAGAATAATAAGATCATGTTCCATGAAGATATTTTGTAAATTTCCTACCATAAATATATCAAAACTTTTGATTATTAATATGCATTGCTAAGAACATAATTTGGACAACTTTAAAGGCGATTGTCTCAATATTTAGATTTTTTTGCACCCTCAGATTCCAGATTTTCAAATAGTTTTATCTCGGCCAAATATTGTCCTATCCTAACAAACCATACATCAATGGAAAGCTCATTTATTCAGCTTTCAGGTCTAAAAAAATTACCCTTATGACTAGTTTTATGGTCCAGGCTCACATATCGTCTAGTACAATTTGAGGTCTAGTATAAAGCAGTGGAGTTGCATACTCTTTGGATGTGACATAAATATCCAAATACTTTTTAAGCTTCACTTGTTATTAGTTTATAGTTTATATTTAACAAAATGGCTTGAAAGATATGCATTGTTTTAGAGCGGTCACTTCATATCAGTCCAAACCCAAACATGGCAAGTACATGGTGTCCTTTTAGTTGTCTCACAAACAATATCTCTCTTGGACACTCTGCTTTTGCTTGTATGTTATGCTTATTTTATTTCAAATAAACTCCTCTCGAGGCCTGACATTGTATTTGCTGTCCCTGCCAAACCATGCAGTTGGATTTAAAATGTTGTGAAATATCACAAACTTAGCTCTTTACATCTGAACAGCTTTTTAGACCTAATGAAATGCTCTCCACATAAGCTCCGTATAACATAAGAAAGGAAAGAAAGTTCTTTTGTTTTTGACCCCTATATAAAGGTCAGATCAATAATTTGTCGAGGTCAGGGTCTGTGTGAAATCCTCTGTGGTTGAGCAGCTTTTATTTGAACTCTGAGCTTTCATTTCAGAATACAGTAAAGTAATGTGTGCTGTGAAAAACTGAATCATTAAAGATAATTTCCTCTGTGTTACATTCATATAGATGGATATAGATGGCTGCTGTACTGTGTATTCTTGCATGTACATCTACTATGAAAGCACTAACGTTCAATGGTTTGGGATCAGTAAGATTTTTTTAAATTGAAAGAAGTCTCTTATGTTCATCAACTGCATTTATTTGTGTAATAATAATAATAATAACAATGTGAAATATAATTACACTTTTCATAATTACACTTTTCTATTTGAATATATTGTAAAATGTCATTTATTCCTGTGATGAAAAGCTGAATTTTCAGCATCATTACACCAGTCTTCAGTGTCACATTCTAATATATTGATTTGCTGCTTAAGAAATATTTTTTATTATTATCAGTGTTGAAATCAGTTGAGCTGCTTAATGTTTTTGTAAAATCCATGATATTTTTAACAGCATTTATGTGAAATAGAAAATGTTCTAACTATAAAAATATTTACAGTCACTTGTTAGTTGTTAGTTAAATGGATCCTAAAAGTATTAATTTAAAACAAAATCTTACTTGTCATACTGCTCATACTATCTCTGTGGTCTGCAGTATGCATGCTGTAGTCAGTTTTTTGTTACGTTATTCTCCGCTGCAGCAGCGCCCCCATCAGGAGCCAGGTAAGCGGATACCGTCATGGAGCGGCCGGCCAATCTGGATGGAGAAGATGGTGCTGGGGCGGGTGAAGGTCCCTCACACCTTTGTCATTCACACCTACACCCGCCCCACCATCTGTCAGTACTGCAAACGGCTGCTCAAAGGGCTTTTCCGCCAGGGCATGCAGTGCAAAGGTGAGTATCGCCATCTTCCTTTACCCTTTCCAATATAGAAAATAATTCTACACAAACGTATAAAAAAAGTGATCATGAGGTGTTTTCTTCACCAGACTGTAAATTCAATTGCCACAAGCGATGTGCTTCAAAGGTACCAAAAGACTGTCTTGGAGTCTTCAATGGAGGTATGGTCATGGTTTTCAGCCACATCCAACTAAAATGAAAAACGTACTAATAGAAACATCGTTACGTAGGTTTACCGTATGTTTCTTTCAGAGCCGGCCAGCCCAGGTCCTGACTCTGATACCACGATGGAAGTAGACAGCAGTGATGTGAACAGCGATAGCAGTCGTGGTCTGGACGATTCAGAGGAACCTACCACTCCAGAAGACAAGATCTTCTTTATGGACTCCCCCTTCATGGACCGTGAGAAGGATGAAGAACCTGTGAAGACCATCAGGTATATGCTCTGGATAATTATAAAATGCCTACAAAACAACCACTGGCTCTGCACCCCTTTACCTAAATTTACTACTTCAGATGTATGTGCCCTCCAGAAGCTTGCGTTCTGCAAGTGAAACCACAAAATTACTTCCACTGACTTTTACCTTAACTGTTCCCTGCTGGTGGAATGGCCTGCCCAACTCGATCCGAGCAGCTGAAATGACTAAAAATACATTTCTTCCATCTAACACTGACACTAGCACTCTCTATTCTATTTCTATTGTATCTGCGCTTGTTATTTATTAAAAAAAACTTGACCCTCTAACCCTTGCACTCTCTATTGCATTTCTCTTCTCTCTACTTGTTTTCTTTTTATTTATTAAAAAACTTGATCCTCTAACACTTGCACTCTCTATTCTATTTCTGTTCTATCTACTTGTTTACTTTTTATTTATTAAAAAAAACTTGACCCTCTAACCCTTGCACTCTCTATTGCATTTCTCTTCTCTCTACTTGTTTTCTTTTTATTTATTAAAAAACTTGATCCTCTAACACTTGCACTCTCTATTCTATTTCTGTTCTATCTACTTGTTTACTTTTTATTTATTAAAAAAAACTTGACCCTCTAACCCTTGCACTCTCTATTGCATTTCTCTTCTCTCTACTTGTTTTCTTTTTATTTATTAAAAAACTTGATCCTCTAACACTTGCACTCTCTATTCTATTTCTGTTCTATCTACTTGTTTACTTTTTATTTATTAAAAAAAACTTGACCCTCTAACCCTTGCACTCTCTATTGCATTTCTCTTCTCTCTACTTGTTTTCTTTTTATTTATTAAAAAACTTGATCCTCTAACACTTGCACTCTCTATTCTATTTCTGTTCTATCTACTTGTTTACTTTTTATTTATTAAAAAAAACTTGACCCTCTAACGCTAACACTCTCTATTCTTTTTATATTCTATCTACTTTTTATTTATTAAAAAACTTGACCTTCTAACACTAGCACTCTCTATTCTATTTCTATTCTATTCTATCTATTTTTATTTTTATTTATTTAAAAAACTTGACCCACTAACACTAGCACTCTCTGTTCTATTTCTATTCTATCTACTTTTCTTTTTATTTATTAAAAAACACAACCCTCTAACACTAGAATTTTCTATTCTTTTTCTATTCTATCTACTTGTTTTCTTTTTATTTATTAAAAAATCTTGACCCTCTAACACTAACTCTCTATTTTATTTCTATTATATCTGCATGTTTTCTATTTATGTATTAAAAACAACCCTCTAACACTTGCACTCTATTCTATTTCTATTATATCTATTTTTTATTTATTAAACAACTTGACCCTCTAACACTAGCAATCTATATTCTATTTCTATTCTATCTATTTGTTATTTATTAAACAACTTGACCCTCTAACACTAGCAATCTAAATTATATTTCTATTCTATCTATTTTTTTATTTATTAAAAAACTTGACCCTCTAACGCTTGCACTCTCTATTCTATTTATATTCTATCTACTTTTATTTTTATTTATTAAAAAAGCTTGACCCTCTAAAACTTGAACTCTCTATTCTATTTCTATTCTATCTGCTTGTTTTCTTTTTATTTATTAAAAAACTTGACCTTCTACCACGAACACTCTCTATTCTATTTCTATTCTATCTATTTTTATTTTTATTTATTAAAAAACTTGACCCACTGACACTAGCACTCTCTGTTCTATTTCTATACTATCTACTTTTCTTTTTATTTATTAAAAAACACAACCCTCTAACTAGCATTTTCTATTCTTTTTCTATTCTATCTACTTGTTTTCTTTTTATTTATTAAAAACCTTGACCCTCTAACACTAGCACTCTCTATTGTATTTCTATTCTGTCTACTTTTCTTTTTATTTATTAAAATAAAATCTTGACCCTCTAACACTAAATCTCTATTTTTATTTCTATTCTATCTACTTGTTTTATATTTATGTATTAAAAAACAACCCTCTAACACTTGCACTCAATTCTAATTCTATTCTACTTGTTTTCTTGTTTATTTATTTAAAAACTTGACCCTCAAACACTAGCAATTCTGTTTCTATTCTATCTGTTTTATTTATTAAAAAACTTGACCCTCTAACACTAGCACTCTCTATTCTGTTTCTATTCTATCTACTTTTATTTTATTTATTAAAAAACTTGACCCTCTAACACTAGCACTCTCTATTCTGTTTCTATTCTATCTACTTTTATTTTATTTATTAAAAAACTTATATTTCTATTCTATATATTTGTTTTCTATTTATGTATTTAAAAAAAATGACCCTCTAACACTAGCATTTTGTTTTCCTTTTCTGTTCTATCTACTTGTTTTCTTTTTGTTTATTATAAAGATATAATTATAAATATATTGTTTATTATAAAGATATAATAACTTCTAACACTAGCTCTGTCTTCTATTGTGTGTACTCTTCGTTATTTTTATTTATTATAAAAAAAATCCTATGTGTACTGCATTAGACTAATTGAGACTTGTCACAGCATTTGTATATTGTTGCTTTTTTGTTGTTTCGATTGTTTATATTGTCTTCATCTGTAAGTCACTTTGGATAAAAGCATGTAAAATATGCTAAATGTAAAATATTTTTAGACACAAAGGGATAGTTCACCCAAAAATGAAAATTATGTCATCATTTACTCACTCTCAAGTTTTTACAAACCTATGAGTTTCTTTCTTTTGCTGAAGACAAAAGAAGATATTTAGAAGAATGTGGGTAACCAACCAGTTTCTGGTTTTACTAACATAGTAGTTCATCATACTGTGGAAGTCAGTGGGGACCAACAACTTTGGTTTGGTTTGGTTAGAAAGTCATAAATGTTGGGAGTATCTTGAGGGTGAGTAAAAGATGACAGAATTTCCATTTTTGGGTGAGTCAAACCTTCAGAGTTAAAATTTTCTTGATCAATGATCCACATCAGCACTATCGATCACTGCCGTGTCTCATATCTTCTTTAAGCCCCTCTACCAGCACCAATATCCCCCTGATGCGTGTGGTCCAATCCGTCAAACACACCAAGAGGAGGAGCTCCACTGTGGTCAAAGAAGGATGGATGGTGCACTACACCAGTCGAGACAATCTTGTGAGATTTTATTTCATATTCACACGTTTGTTTATTTTTTTTCGCGGTTTATGCATTTTGATAAGAAAGCATCTGCTAAGGGCATAACTGTATTACAATTATGTAGAATTACTCGCTACAACTGCTTCTTTCATGATAGTATATGGTAACTTTTCCATTAAAAAGCTTTTCTTTTTTTTTTTTTTGTGGTGTAGTGTGACAAAATGCTTCATTGCCGTTTTTATGTCACATTTTTGCAGATTCATTTTAGTGAATTGGTTTGTTTGGACTGTTTGTCACAAACTGGTTTAAAATACAGTTTCAGAGACTAATTTGAGTCATCAGTAAGGTTCCCAGAGCTCTCTTTGTGTCATTTTAAGTCCTTTTTGTTGTTGTAAAATAAATATGTAGTTGAATACTGATGTTTAGCGCTATTGTTTCAATGCAGTTACTCTTAAGACAGATAAATAATGGCTATGATTTATTAAATTATATAATCCGATGTAACATTTTTGTGAAATTTTGCCTAGTAGTTCAATCAAAAATAACAATCCTGTCATCATTTATTTATCCTTATGTTGTTTCAAACCTGCACGATCTTCTATTTCTGGAAGGCAAAATGCAGTTTCATATAATAAGTAGCTTAAACCTTACACTAAGACTTCTTATACATCTTGATGGCATCATAATTATTTTGCATTAAATGCCCTTTATATCAATGTGTGTTTTCTCACAACTTTCCTGAGTTTTGAAATTAGTCAAACCTGTTTTGTCCTCAGAGAAAGAGACACTACTGGAGACTGGACAGCAAGAGTCTGACTCTGTTTCAGAATGACTCAGGAGCCAAATATTACAAAGTAGGTATTATAAGTATTCTACTTCTAATTTCTGTTATAAGTATTCTACTTATATTTACTAAAACAATTGTTGAGGTTCATGTTTAAGTGATATTCTCTGTTGATGAAAAAAAAAATGACATTCATGTGTATATTTTAATGTCATCAAGAACAACCTTTAGAATAACCCCAGAAATCATAATATTGCTCATATACTTCTAACGAAACTGATTATGCTGCAGTCCACCTTTGATCTTTGTAATGTCAAAACATTATAATTAATTGCTCATCTAGAGCATTTCACACAGCTAAAGGCAGTAGTATTTTCTCCTCTCACATTCACCGCTGAGGTGTCTGGCAAGTACCACAGAATACCCCTCCTCCTCTGCTTCAGCTTGAGCTAAAAGCCATTCAGTAAGAGGCAGGAAGTGTATCAAATGCACTGTGTAGTTATATGGGTAATGCAACTGTATTACTGTATTGAAAAATAGAATAATTTTATTCTGGGACTTGGAATAGCATCACTATATTTCTGTGTTGTATCATACAGTATGTGTTTGTACAGGTTTGAGCGAGGTGTGCTGTGATTGGCCAGCTATCCAATGCGTTGTGATTGGCCGAATACCTCAAGCGTGAGACGGAAATGTTGCGCCCCTTACCACATTGTGATGATGCCCTGTCAGGCCGGAGCAAGGATTCAAAAACATGAAAACCCATTATAAACGAGGCATTCGTTGTGTGTTTTCTCACAACTTTCCTGAGTTTTGAAATTAGTCAAACCTGTTTTGTCCTCAGAGAAAGAGACACTACTGGAGACTGGACAGCAAGAGTCTGACTCTGTTTCAGAATGACTCAGGAGCCAAATATTACAAAGTAGGTATTATAAGTATTCTACTTCTAATTTCTGTTATAAGTATTCTACTTATATTTACTAAAACAATTGTTGAGGTTCATGTTTAAGTGATATTCTCTGTTGATGAAAAAAAAAATGACATTCATGTGTATATTTTAATGTCATCAAGAACAACCTTTAGAATAACCCCAGAAATCATAATATTGCTCATATACTTCTAACGAAACTGATTATGCTGCAGTCCACCTTTGATCTTTGTAATGTCAAAACATTATAATTAATTGCTCATCTAGAGCATTTCACACAGCTAAAGGCAGTAGTATTTTCTCCTCTCACATTCACCGCTGAGGTGTCTGGCAAGTACCACAGAATACCCCTCCTCCTCTGCTTCAGCTTGAGCTAAAAGCCATTCAGTAAGAGGCAGGAAGTGTATCAAATGCACTGTGTAGTTATATGGGTAATGCAACTGTATTACTGTATTGAAAAATAGAATAATTTTATTCTGGGACTTGGAATAGCATCACTATATTTCTGTGTTGTATCATACAGTATGTGTTTGTACAGGTTTGCTCATAGCGGTACAGCAAATTTGGTGGCAGATCATTTTAATGATCTAATGATTTAATGAATAATATATATATATATATATACACACACACACACACATACAGTATATATTGAAAATATTTACATGTATATACATTTATATATTTATATTATTAGATGTTATATTATACATAAATATATTTAATATATAAACACAACATATTTTTCTTAAATATATACTTGCATGTGTGTGTATTTATATATACATAATAAATATACACAGTATACACATATTATGTAAACAAAAACTTTTATTTTGGATTAATCGCGATATATATGTATATGTATATATACTGTTGTGCTCAAAAATTATTCATACCCTTGGTAAATATGATCAAAAAAGGCTGTGAGAATAAATCTGCAGCGTTTTTTGTTATTTTTTTTATTTTAAAAATGTACAAAAACCTAACCTTTCATTGGAGAAAAATAATTTAAAATGGGACGGAAATCTCATTATGAAATGTTTTTTTTCTGATACACGTTGGTCACAATTAATCATACCCTTTTATTCAATACTTTTTGCAACCTCTATTTGCCAAGATAACAGCTCTGAGTCTTCTCCTATAATGCCTGAAGAGTTTAGAGAACATCTGACAAGAGAACAAAGACCATTCCTTCATCCAGAATCTCTCCAGATCCTTCAGATTCCCAGCTCCATGTTGATGCTGCTTTTCTTCAGGTCATCCTACTCATTTTCTTTTGGGTTCAGCTCAGAGGACTGGGACAGCCATGGCAGAAACTTGTTTTTGTTCTCAGTTACCCATTTTTGTTTTGATTTTGATGTTTGTTTGTGGATCATTGTCCTGTTGGAAGATACAACCACGGCCCATTATAAGATTTCTAGCATGGACAGTCAGTTTTTAATTTTTTATCAGTTGGTATTTGATAGAATCCATGACGCCATCTATGTGAACACGATATGCAGACTTTGGCCACTCAAATGATCCTCCTCGCCTTGCTTTAAGACTCACGTCCTCTTCCATGCAGATTTGTAACATTTTCTGTTGATTGGAAATTCTTAATTATTGCCCTGATGGTGGAAATGGGAATTTTCAATGCTTTAGCTCTTTTCTTACAGCCATATTCTAATTTGTGAAGTTCGACAATCTTTTGCTGCACATCAGAAATATATTCTTTGATTTTACTGATTGTGATCAATGATTAAGGGAAACTGGCCTTTGTGTTCCCTCATATTTATATTCCTGTGAAACGGGAAGCCAAGGCTGGATAATTTCATGTTCCTAGTCACCCTGGTGTGCTAAAAAATGGAAATATGCTTTAGAGATATTTTACTCATAAGAATTAGGTACCAATAATTGTGGGCATTGTTATTTGAGAAAAATTATGATTTCACAATGACATTTCCCCCCACTTTCGCTTACAATTTAAGGTTAGATTTTTTTTTCTTTTTTAATTTTTGAATGAAAGATCAAATGGATTAACAATGCAGACTTATTTTACAGCCGCCTTTGATCTTTACCAAGGGTATGAATAATTTTGAGCACACACGTGTGCTCAGAGTATGTTTATGTACATTTACATTTTATGTTTTAATATAAGTGGACAGCTTAAAATATGTGCACAACCATTTAAAAGTTACATTTTTAAGTGATTAATACATGTATACACACAATAAGTACATTGTATCAAAAGATTCATTGAAATGCTTGTACATAGTAGTTTAGACACTTAATATAGAGTACGTCCAAACTTTCTGTGACACTGAGGACTGGAGTAAGGATGCTGAAAATTCAGCTTTGCATCTAAGGAATAAATTAGATTTGTAAAATATTTTCAAATAGAAAACAGTTCTTTTAAATTGTAATAATATTTTACAATATTACTGTTTTTACTGTATTTTTGATTAAATGTACACAGCTTTGGTGGGCACTAGAGAGAAAAAAAATCATACCGACCTCAAACTTTTGAATGGTAGTGTATGTATTTTGGCTCCCATTGGAAAATGAGCCATGGTTATATCTTCAGTAACGTTCACACATCTGGGGATGTGAAGGTCATATTGCCATAATGCTCATTTTGTTTTTTTTAAGAACTTGTGTGTTTCTGTGAATGTTTCTGTAGCAGCTCCAGTGTTCCCAGCTGTAAAACTAAAGCCAGGAAACCTCACCACCCTGGGTGAGACTTCAGGGTGTGTTTAAGACTGTTTTACACACCACTTTATTATCAGCTTGGCGCTCAGCTTGGATCTTAAATTCTAAAACAGATACTACTTCTTTGAAATTTTGAAGCTTATTTGGCTTTGTTAGATTCACTATTACTAAAGCACTGCATAATTCTAAAGAATGACAGTTTGTTACTAAAAAACCACCTCCATTTCTGTCCTTCGCATTATTGTAAAGTTCTCAATTTTTCTCAATCAAATCAGTTGTGAGGTAGTCAATAAGAAAAACACATTTCTCAGCACAATGAGTAAAGTATATGATTCCCAAAGCAACCAATGCTTTATACTTAAAGTATAGTGTAAGACATGATCGTGCATTTGATTTTCATCTATAACTTCACAGAACCAGTCAGATTTGCACATTTGGAAATCATAGTGTTCTCTTTTGAAGATAGAAGCCCTGTACTTTTGGTTTTTGGGTAAGGGGGTTCCAGGCCTTTCTCAGGATAACCACAGCCCACCCCCTTAAGTGTGACCACCTCCTACATAATGTATCGGTGGCCAGCGTAAGACTTGCCTACACACTCATACACGTATGCACATGAGTGCTGCCCTGTAATCATGGAGCTCTTCATAGGGTTGGGTCACATGATTCACCCACCAAACCACAAGCACTTCATCTCATATTCAAAGTAGGCCGCAGGCGCAGCATTTACGCTGATTGGCCACAGCTACTGTTTTTCCTGTCTCATCTGAGAGCAAGTTCGGGGGCTGGGCAGAAGGTGGACTCTTAAGAGACTGTCATAATCAGACTTGGCACATTAGGCTTTGCATCGTCAGTGAAGATTGAAGCTTAACCCTAGACTGCAAGCTTGGGCTGCATTCGCAGACAGTGCTATTTTTGATATGTGTGATAAGGAACATTTGAGAGTATCTCTTTGAACCTGGAGGAACCACATGGACTTGGAAAGCGACTGCCCTTTACTTCTCATCAGTGAGATCCTGGTCACTTTGACACCATAGAGTTTATGAACTCCGTGAGGTGAATTTTCAGCTGGACTGGACGTTTTAATTCAACACCATGTGGATTAATTTGATGACTCATTTCCAGACCCAAAGAGCAAATGCGGGGTTGTTTAATTGGTTAAACGATCTTATCTAGCTGTCACTGAGTCAGCGTCTAAATTTCTGACTCATTGTCTGACCCACAGGAGATTCCCCTGTCAGAGATCTTGCAGGTGGAGGTTGCGCGTGACTTCAGTAGTTTAGCCCTGGGGGGCAATCCGCACTGCTTCGAGGTCATCACCGCCACCATGGTGTACTACGTAGGGGAGAACACCGGCGGCCCCCACCTCCACATCCACAACCCTGCGCTGGCTGCCGGTGGCGTGGGGCTGGAGGTGGCCCAGGGCTGGGAGAGGGCCATCCGCCAGGCCCTGATGCCCGTTCCAGTAACACCACAGCCCAGCGTGGGCGCTCTAGTCGTGTCCTCTTTTGGAAGGCCAAACAAAGTAGTTTCGCTTTCACAACGAAACACAGCGTCACACATGGCGGTCTTGAGTGAGCAGAGGCGGCGGATTTGATGAAGGAGCGTCCGGAGGGCTTGCGGTAACCACATGTGACGACCCCGGGCTGAACTCCGCTTCGTCCACGATGAAAGTTGATGTATTCCCTCAGCGACCAGCACGGATCAGCTCTAGGCATGACGAAGCGGATATCGT